GACAAACGCCGATCCACAAACTCACGGACTCTGTCAACATTTGCCGCCGTTCCGCTTGTCGACGGTCTGCCAGACGCAGGGTCATCATCAATGACTTGCCACCCTTCACGGAAATGTTTAAACCATTCACACACTGTCTTTCGAGTTACATTTTGTGGGTTTCCGACGCCAATTGTATGTTCGAATATTTCTCGCTGTCTTGTTTCTGTGACCATTCACCAAACTTTCTGGTTACACCTTGTATTTAATTAAATATACTGTGTATGCAGCAAAGTGAAAGGCTTTTGGGAACTGATTTATAATGAGCTTAAAAAAAATTTCAAATACACTTTTCCAAAAAAAGCCCGAAGCTTTCCTGCTAGGAATGACTGCCAAAGAAATTAAAAAAGAAGATAAAAATCTGTTTTTATACGCCACAACGGCCGCAAGAATTATGTTAGCACAAAACTGGAAAATGGAGGCAATACCTAGTATAAGTGATTGGCAGGTCAAGATGATAAACTATGCTGACTTAGCTAGAATAAGAGGAAGATTAAGGGACCAGGACGAACAGAAATTTCATGATAACTGGAATAAATACTTGATGTATATAAGAATAAATGTAGAACTTCGATGACACTGGTGGGGTTGGAATAACTAACAGCGAATGGCTAATAAGTAAAGGAGATTAAATACGTGATTTCAGAATTTATTTGATACTTACCAAAGGAGTGAAGTCCAAGGCTCGGTAGAGTCTAAAACAACTTTGTAATATACATATGATTTGTGGACTGGATATGATATATGTAATTTATGTAATAGATTTTGTATATGTTTATATGTATGAAAAACTAATAAAAATTTACCTGTAAAAAAAAATTTAAATATGCTGTGTATATTAAATGTACTGTGAACACTTTATGACATGGAAATTTAATTCAGGGGGTGGTCTGCGGCTTCTGTGCCAAAGTCCTATTGCAGTCCACTTGGTCTGAGTCCACCCTGCAACAGACGAATGGGCTGGTTGCATAGAAGGCAACATCTCATGTTCCTGACCTGTAGATGAAGTCGAAGGAGATGTTGCCACTTTGAACTGTCTCCCCTCCCAGCTAAATAACTATGCCCTGTTGGTGGTATCTCCTCAAACTGCTGCCCGGCTGCCATTGACCCCCTGGCAGGGCTTTCTCAGTGGTGGCTCCCCATTTGTGGGATGCCCTCTCTGGTGCGGCACATTCTTCTCTCTTTCAACTGATTTTTTGGGATAAATTTCAACAGCTTCCTGTTCATACCAAGCATTTGACAGCTGCCCACCGCAACCTTGAAATTAGCAACTGGGAAGGAAGGCGTGTGTTGTTTTTTAAAAAAAATGTTTTAGATGGTTTCCATGCCCTTAAATACCTAGGTTTTGTTTTACAGTGGTACCTTGTGTTACATACGCTTCAGGTTACAGACTCCACTAACCCAGAAATAGTACCTTGGGTTAAGAATGTTGCTTCAGGATGAGAACAGAAATTGTGCTCTGGCGGCGCGGCAGCAGGAGGAGGCCCCATTAGCTAAATGGTGCTTGAGGTTAAGAACAGTTTCAGGTTAAGAACGGACCTCTGGAATGAATTAAGTACTTAACCTGAGGTACCACTGTATTTTCAGTTGCATTGCTTTAGCCTTTTGATGTTTGCTAGCCTAGGCTCCTTTGTATTTGATTTACAAACTGAATACATTATTATACACCAGGTGAAAATGTTCCTCTTTAACCAGGCCTTTGGCTGATTGACATCCAATGCCCTTTGTGTTGCGGAACAAGGAATTATTGGGTTGTTCTTATTTTGATTATATATTTTGTGTTTTTTATGTTGTGGTTTTGTGTTGTGAATCACCCTGAGATCTACGTGCATAGGGCAGTACAGTGGTGCCTCGCAAGACGAAATTAATCCGTTCCGCGAGTCTCTTCGTCTTGCAGTTTTTTCGTCTTGCGAAGCACGGCTATTAGCGGCTTAGCGGCTATTAACGGCTTAGTGGCTATTAACAGCTTAGCGGCTTAGCGGCTTTAAGAAAAAGGAAACAAACTCGCAAGCAAGCCCATAGGGAAATTCGTCTTGCGGAACGACTCAAAAAACGGAACACCCTTTCGTCTAGCGAGTTTTTCGTCTTGCGAGGCATTCGTCTTGCGGGGCACCACTGTATACAATTTTAGTAAATAATAATAGAATTGCAAAGTTAGAAGTAACTCCTAAGTTCCTCTAGCCCAACTCCTTGCAATGCAGGAATCACAACTAAATAATCCCTGACAGGTGGCCACAAAATCTCTGCTTAAAACCTGCAAGAAGGGGGAGTCCAGGACTTTCCGAAGGGGGTCCGTTCCACAGTCAAACAGCTCTTACCGTCAGAAAGTTCTGGCAGATCATAATCATATAGACTCTCTCTCACTGATGCACTAGTTTTCTACTTGCGGGGAAGGACAGGGGTGTGGGTGGGTGTCCATTTACTTGATGCTGGGGGAGCATTTAATCAGGTCGACTGACTGACTGACTGCAGTCCTAAGTGCTGCGCATGGTTTTATTTTCCTCATCCTGCTATGTGCGTCTTATGAGATCCAATGGGTTTTCTTGTTACACAAACACAGAATTGCGGCGTAAAACCTGCAGGGAACTTTTGGGTATGAATAAACAACCCCCCCAAAAAAAAAAAAAACTCCCAGCGGAATCACGCTTGCTTTGCATTTCCACGCCGGCGCTCCCACATTTGCAACCAATCTCCTTTCTTCTTTTTAGCACAAACCTTTATTTAGAAACCCAAAAAATATCCATAAATCTTATGGCAATCATATGTACAACTCCACTATGTCGAAGCAACACAGAGAGAGAGAGAGATCTGCAAGCATCCACACTGTTTCTGAGTGTGCAACGGAACCTGCTATAAATAATAGACATTCAGAGACACTGCAGACACATATAAATTATAGCACGTGTGTCTTCTCATAAATAGAGATTGCAGAAGGATTTCCACCGCAGGCGATGGTCGTCAGGCGCAGCCCGGGATGACATACCGTGCCAGCCGCTCCCACTGGAAGTGAAACTGAGCAGGAATAAAAAAATCAGTTGCTTCTTGGAGGGAGGGGCAAAATAATCATCATAAATTAAAAATTTCACAGTAATAAACGTCACTCAAAAGTCTGACCGGAGTCTTTGCCGTTGGAACGACCCACAGCAAACGAAGCCATTTCCTGGAGCTGGCTCTGTCGTTGGGGAGCGTGAACAACTTGTCTATGCAACTGCTACACTAAGGAAAGAGGGAAACATCATGCAGTTGGCTACGGAGATCAGCCAATGAGCAAAGCTCATCTCACCCCAACTGTACCAGATGTTTTGTTCCTGGCTGTGGCATCGCTCAATATTAAGTCCCCAATCACGCTGCGGGCTGGTTGGCACATGTTTGAGCTCCTCTTTGAAACATTCTGCCTTCCACCTGTTCAAGCAACTGGCCACATCCTAAAACTTTCCAATTCTTCTCCCATCAACAGGAAGGAATGTGGGTCAGAATTGCCCCAGGCCTCTCCCAACTCATCCAAGCCCCCTTTGCAACGCAGCAAATCGCGCCCAAAGGATCTCTTCGCACTCCTTCCAAATAAAACAAAGATTCCTGAATTTCAGTAACATTGGAGGGGCACTTTAAATTAAAATCAAGTGAAATTGGATGACGCTTGCCAAATGTATATTATTTACTTATTGGATAAGGACATGCTTATAACGAAGACAGCCAACTCTGCCGCAGCAGGAACAAAACATCTGGTACAGCTGGGGTGAGATGGGACAGGACGAGAGAGGAGGCATCTTTTGCCCAATTTACCACTTGTAGGGGACCAAGCAAGATGAGGTGGTCGCCCAACACCAGCGCCGGGAGGAAGCGCCTGCCTCAGGCGGTACAAGTGCGAGAGGCGGTGCTCTGCCAGCGAGAGAGCTGTTCTGGTGCACGGCATTGCCACTCATCTTTTCTGTCCCCAGGGGAGAAGCCAAGCGGCGACACTTTGAAGAGCACCGGGGCTCCCACTGATTTCGGCAAGAACCAGGGTGCGGCGGTGGCAACAGAAGTGGTGGGATGCAAAAGGGAGCAGGGCAGGAGCTGCCAATTCCCATTTCGCCTCAGGTGGCAAAACAGGATGGGCCGCCCCTGCCCGACATCAAGGGGAGTGAAGTAGGTGAGAGTCAATTACAGCAAAATTCGAGGTAGCGTTTAATTGGAGATTGTAGTTTCAACAGCAAGAGGTTGGCTGATTAGGGCCTAGTCAATACTGGGCGAGAAATGGCAACGGATAAGTTACAATTGGTAGGCAATCAAAAACATCTCATGGCTTTTCCCTTATCTAAATAATCTTCCTTTGTTGAATTTTGGAGTTCCTTATAATTTGTCAGAAGTGTTTGTCCCCTGCCTATCGTTGGATCAATCTTATTTTATTACTTTGGATTCTGCCTGTTCTTTTTTAAGTATGGATTTAAAATATGGGATTGGGATAGGACTAAAGGGTGGGTGGGTGGCCAGGGGCTGGAACAGCGTACAAACGTACCTGTATGTGCAAAACTTGCCCAGTTTCACACCAGGGCATTGGGAGGAAGCAGTTTCTCACCTCGTAACTTCTATGAAAGAGGCACATGGTGCCCGATGTACGTTCTGCCCAATTATAGAGCCAGCTCGAGGTCCTGGGATCAGCTGCTGCCCAGACAGGTCACAAGGATAAAATGCATCTGGAACACACTGACAGATCCCTGCTTTACAGGGAAAACTCTGGGTAAGAAATGGATTCTTATTCAACCATAACTTATCTTTTAAAAATTAAGTATACCCCCATGTGATGCAGCCAGCCAAGAAGGGGGGGGGGGACTTGCTTTTCCCCCTCAACTGGAAGACAATTGTTGGATGGGTTTTCTTCCTTTCAATTTTGGATGCATTTCTTGTTTTAAGTTACCACACAGAGAGAAAATACACACACAAAAATCCCTCTCCCCTCATGGTGACACTTTCCCCCCCTTAAAAACCAAACTGGCCTCGGTTTATAGATGGTGTTGTTTCGATTGGTGTTTTGGACTACAATTTCTGTCAGCCGCAGCCAGTGCCGCTGGGAGTTATAGTGCCAACACATCGGGGCACCAGGTTGGCAAAGATGGCAGTCGAGTGTTATACAGCTTAGAGAGGGCTGGTCTTTCCCTCATAAAGGAATTTCTGTGAGAAAGACGCACAGGCACTTCTGCAGCCAGCCATGCCAGAAGGAGATGCACACTGGCCTGTTAGCAACATCACCTCCCACCCCAAGCAGAGCAATTTCCAAACCGTTCTTTCTCTGAAATTCTGCATGACAAACAGCAAGGAAGGGAGAGGAAGAGTTTAAACTTCAAGTGTCGTTTCAAAAACTCGTTCCGCTCTCTTTTGAACGGTCCGCTCTTTCGCACATACACAAACGCACACACAGAGTTGTGTCTTAGCTTCGGGACCAGCCCTCAGCTGAAAAGTATGCCGCAAAACGAACGGCAACAACAGGGGCATCTTTGCCCTACTTTGGTCTGGTCACCACGGAGAACCTTCCGGTATCTCCGCAAGAAAGCTGGTAGAAGAACCTCCAGGGCAGCCCATCTTTGTCAAACTCTCTTTCGCAGCATCCAAAAAAAACCACCAAAAGGGGAATAAAATACCCCCCAAAATCAACATTTCAGAGCTTTGTCCCCCTTCAAACACCCCCTTCCCAAAAATATATGGTTCCTCCTTCAACACCATTGGAAAAGACAGCGCTGGGTGTTGGCTCACGGATCTGAGCAACCAATGTCTTCCCCTTAAGCGTTTCCCCCCTCAGACAGAGATAACAGGGAGAGCTAAAGGATCTGGAGCTTTCTGGAGCACGTCAAGTTACTGTGGACCAGATCCCACATGGCCAGCAGCTCTGAGGGGAGGAGTTTATGGACCACCAGCATGCTCTGGTAGAAGCAAGGCTCCTTGTTCATCTTGCTATTCTTGTTTTTCACGATGCCAAACGTCTTGAAGCCGGCGTGGGCCACGGGCGTCACCTTGAGGACCTCCAAGCACATGCCCAAGAAGACGTCATCGATGGGGTAGAGCTCCAGGCTCTCTGAGACTCTGTGGAGCTTCTTCGCCAGGGGGCCATCCATGACGAAGCCACCACCACCTGCATAAGGCGGGTAGGTGTTCTTGTTGTACAAGGCATTGGGGATGTAGTACTTGTTCTCCTTCTTGCGAATGGGCCGGGCCTTGAAGAGGACATCCCCCACGAACAGGTTGTCCGCCTTCTGGTCCTGCAGGAACTCCAGGATGTTGCTGGGGCTGACGTAGACGTCGTCGTCGCCCTTGAAGATGTACCGCACGTGGTCACAGTAGATGCTGAACCATTTGAGGAAGTGGACTTCCTTGAGGGTGAGGTTGAAGAAGCTGTCCAGGAAGTCCCACTGCAAGATGTCCCCGTAGATGCGGTCCTCGTAGTCGAGGAGCTTCTGGTAATTGGCCCGCTCCTCTTCCTTGGAGGCCACGCCCAGGAGGAAGAGGGTTCGCACCTTCCTGCCCTCCATCTCTCTCTCCTGGCCCCACGTCCTGCGGATGGCCTCTCGCCGGTCGTGCTGAGTGATGATGGACTTCACCACGATCAGCAGGTGGATGTCTCCGCGGCACTTCTCCGCGTGGTTGATCAGCATGGGGAAATAGCGGCAGTGGCGGTACAGCATGAACTGCCGGAAGTTGGGCTCCAGGCCTTTGAACCAGTCCTCCTTGCTGAAGTTCTGGTTGGCAGAGCAGTTGACGGAGGTGACGTCCCAAGACCGAACCGCCTTCTCCGTCGCTTCCGCGGCCTTGAGAGCCGGGCCCTGCTTCTTCCAGAAGTCGCTGGCGACGGGGAGCACGCCGTCCCGCTTTTGAGCTTTCACGGACTCCTGGGCCACGAGTTCTTTTTGCGGCTGGCCCTGGAGCAACTGGCTGGGTGCCATTCCTCGCTGCAAGACCGTCACCGTCACCACCAGCAGGAAGGAGAGGAAGACGCTTCTGTAGAGGGTTTTCTTCCTACAGCAAAAACAAAGCAAGGGGTCAAAGCTGGGGGCCACACAATAATAATAATAATTTATTATTTATACCCCACCCATCTGGCTGGGTTTCCCCAGTCACTCTGGGTGGCCCCCAACAGAATATTAAAAACACCAAACATTAAAAACTTCCCCAAACAGGGCTGCCTTTAGATGTCTTCTAAAAGTCAGATAGTTGTTAATTTCCTTGACATCTGATGGGAGGGCATTCCACAGGGTGGGTGCCACCACCGAGAAGGCCCTCTGCCTGGCTCCCTGTAACCTCACTTCTCGCAGGGAGGGAACCACCAGAGGGCACTTGGCGCTAACAAACTCTAGTCATCTTCTTGGAGAAAGGATATGATTTAATAATAATAATAATAATAATAATAATAATAATAATAATAATAATTTATTATTTATTATTTGTACCCCGCCCATCTGGCTGGGCTTCCCCAGCCACTCTGGGTGGCTTCCCCAAAAATATTAAAATACTGTAACTGACTGCTGAATACATATAGATGGCAAACTTTGGCTATTCTCCTACATGGTGTCAGAAGCCCTGATTTGTTCTGTTCTTTTTAACAACCTCACAGGTACATTCATTTGAATGACAGCTTTCAAAAACGGGGGGGGGGGGGAGTTAAAAACCTTACTCAAAAAAGAAATTAATGGAGATTAGACAGCCCAGACAGGTTTCCAAAAACTATCACTTGTTCAGTGTTGCATCAAAATTATCCTGTTTGTTCCTTAACTTATAACTATGGTTTTATCTGCTCTTATAAGAGTTTCCGCAACCCCGCACTGCTGATCTTTATTCTGTGAGCTCCTGATGAGTGCTTGGATTTAATCTTACCCTAAATCTCTTTGTGAAGTTGCTTACGCCTGGGAAGCAGGCTATAAAAATCCATGAAATAAGAAAATGGTGACGTCGTATCGGCCTAATCATTTACGAGCCCTGCTCACACTGATGTACATTGATATCCTTCGCCAGGTGTTCTGGGCAGACCTGTGCGGGCTACATTAAGTAGGAAGGGATGTGCCGGCCCTACTGTTGGGCAAAGTGAGGAGTTTGCTTCAGGCAGCAGGTGCTGAGAGCAGACACAGCACCCACCCACCCCTGGCTGTTTCTCCCAAGCCAATCCCTTCAACTAGACAAGACAAGAGTTCTGTTTGCCACCTTGATCATCCTGGACCTCCTAAACTAACCTGCTGCCCCAAGTATAGGACTTTTATTTTATCTGTTCTGAATCTTCCAACATTCAACTCCAGGGGATGTGCCTGAGTTCTAGGTGTTATGAGAGATGGAGGAAAGCTTTTCTCATAAACTTCTGTCATGTCATTTCTCACTAACCTTCTCTCTAAACCAGTGTTTCCCAAACTTGAGCCTCCAGATTTTTTTTGCACTACAATTCCCATCATCCCTGACCACTGGTCATGCTAGCTAGGGATGATGGGAGTTGTAGTCCAAAAACAACTGAAGACCCATGTTTGGGAAACAAAAACAAAAAAAACCCAAACAAACGAAATGTTGCAAAAGTTTTTTAGGAAGACCCCAAAATTGTTGCGCTTTTCTTAGACAACCCCCAAAGTTATTGAGCTTCTTTTTACAAAAACACGAATTTTCGATTGAGATCCAGGACAAAGCAACACATTTCAGAAATTCCTCCGGACGTCAATTCTGCCTTTGAAATCCCAGTAATGTCTGGCAAAACCCCTGACCATTAGGTCCAGTCGTGGCCGACTCTGGGGTTGCGGCGTTCATCTTGCTTTACTGGCCGAGGGAGCCGCCGTACAGCTTCCGGGTCATGTGGCCAGCATGACTAAGCTGCTTCTGGCGAACCAGAGCAGCGCACGGAAACGCCATTTACCTTCCCGCCGGAGTGGTACCTATTTATCTACTTGTACTTTGACGTGCTTTCAAACTGCTAGATTGGCAGGAGCAGGGACCGAACAACGGGAGCTCACCCCGTCGCGGGGATTCGAACCGCCGACCTTCTGATTGGCAAGTCCTAGGCTCTGTGGTTTAACCCACAGTGCCAAACCCTAGCTTTAGCCAAAAAGTCTTACAGAGATCAGGAGTGAAGAGCCAAGAGGAGCCACAGATAGGTTTGATCAGTCATTTTCACGCAGGTTTGAAGAAATTGAAGTTTAGCTATGAAAACCAAGGAGGAGAAAATAACAGGAAAGGACCGACAACCTAAGTGTGATTTTGCTGATGGAATAAAATGGTCCCAAAGTGTTGGGGAATCATTGAAAGTTTTCAGTACTTTCCACCCGACCTGAGACATCCCACCAGAGACGTCAGCAGCCGAAATTTATTCCATTAGCAAAAAACTGAAGTTCTACCCAGGGCAGTGTCCAATTTCCGCAGGCTTACACGCGCACACTCCTCCCTGTGTTTCCAAATCCCTCGCATTCCAGTCACCTGGGCTCTCTCCATCAGTTTGCTACCGGCAAAGGGAGGGGGAAATGCAGCAGTCAAGTTTCTGTTTGCGGAATGGGGCCTTCCCTGAATAGAAGGAGGTCTGTTTGCCGGCCTCGGGGTCTACAGAGGACATTCTTCGCCCTCAAAGCAAGACCGAAGCGGGGAAGGGCGGAGGGGAGAAACAGGGAGTTCATCATTAGGGCTCTTTGATGCTTGTTGCATCGAATAAGTGCGCAATGTTCAGAGAGGCACACGCCTCCCATCACTTCGGCCAGACAGGAACTGGAGGTTTTCCCTCTACAACTGCCATACGCTCCCCTGCTCCTCTCTCGTCTACCCACTATCTCAATCAAAGCATCGCCTGGCAAGGTTAAACCACGGAGGAGAAGGCTGGCTGCTGCAGAGTGTTGTGAACAAAACCTGCCCTTCTTCCATTATGGGGCATCCAAGAGCCTATATAGAGTCCTTTGTAGGCTCTCCATCGGTAGGCAAAAATAACAGAGGCCAGCCAGAGAATATTGAGAAGCAAATCAGCTAGTAAGCCTGATCTTTATTGATCTGTTGCAACAAGGTGCTCCCCTCACACACAGGAAAGGAGGAAGAACCCAGAACCAAGGTGTGCCTGCCCTTATATAGACATTTTAAATTCCCTGCCCTGGAGCTCAAGACCACCCCTCCATACATCATACGTACAACACAGAAGGGGTGTAACCCAAGACCACCCCCCACAAACATCATACCTACATCACAGAAAAGGTGGTCTACAACAGAAATTTGAATGTTCTTGTTTTTCCTGTCTGCCAGGTTATCTGATAATGACTTATCTGATTGTCCTTTCCTGGCAGTCTGCCCATTCCTTTGAGATGGTGATTTCCCAATTCCTGAGACAATGGGAAGGTTCCCTCACCCCCTCCCTCCTTGCAGAGAAAACATTTGGTCAGTCTGGGAGTCAAAATGGTTTCAGGTCAGTCTTCCTGTGCTGCTCCAGACATGTGGTCCACACATCTATGTACGTGCTTGGTTGGTACCTTTATGAACATTTATTATATATATATAAGACCTTAATTTTTTATTACAAGAGTCAATCTGATAGAAATAGAAGCATTGCCACCTGACCCCACCCCACTCACCATTCCCCCTTCCACCTCTTTCCCCCTTTTCTTCCTAATGTAACACTAACGTCTCAACCAATGAAACTGATCTGTAGAAAATGTAACTTGAAAAAAAGAGACATCGCACATACTTTTGTAAACCAAGATAGTTTGGATAGTGGCATGGAGGAGGGGAAGCTGCGCGCCGCCAGCCAGCTGGTTAGCGGCCCACAGTCTAGGGAGCTTCCAGTCCGCAGTGGGGGGGGGGGAGCGGCTGCCCACTTTGCCAACCCCCAACCACGGCCCTGCTGGGGTGATGGCGTGCATGCAATTCCCCCTTTTAAAAAAGCCCAACAACTTTGGGCCATCTCCCCTCATTTTCTTTAAAATTTAGTCCCCCAAAATAGTCTTATACATGGGGACATCTTATACACAGAAAAATACGATGGGGGGGTGTAAGCTTTTTCTGCCTCTCTCATGGACATCCAATCCTAGAATTTTAGAGTTGGGACCCAGAGGGTCATCTAGTCCAACCCCCGCAATGCAGGAATCACAACTAAAGCATGGAAGAAGAGTCCACCACCTTATGAGGAAGTACGTTCCCCTGTCGAACAGCTCTTGCTGTCAGGAAGTTCTTCCTGGTGTTTAGTCAGAACCTCCTTTCTTGTAAAAGAGATTTCGTTTTGTAGTGCATAGTTTAAACTGTGGAACTCCCTGCCACATGAGGCAGGGATGATCACCAACTTGGGTGGCTTGAGAAGAGGATTAGACAAATTCATGGAGGAGCAGAGGGCTATCAATGGCTACTAGCCAGGATGGCTATTGCTCTGCCTCCACAGTCGGGAGGCAGCAATGCTTCTGTATTGCAGGAGGGGAGTTCGAATCCTGCTCTTGTGTTCGAATCCTGATTGCTGATTTCTCACAGTCATCTGAGTGGCTACCGTGAGAACAGGATGCTAGCAGTTCCAGCAATTCGAGTGTTATAATAAAGAGAGAAAATGTTTTCTCTTTCCACTTTTACCATGCTATGGATTATTTCATATCCTTCTTCTATCATGTCACCACTTGCATTTTCTCTAAACTTAAGAGTCCCAAGCCCTGCAAATATTTCCTCATGCAGAGGGTCACTCCATCCCCTCAATAATTTTGGTGGCCCTTTTCTGAACCTTATCCGACTCTGCAATATCCTTTTTTGGGTGTGGTGACCAGAACTGCGCAACGGTCTTTAGAATGCGGTTGTACCAGAGCTCCGTATAACGGTACGCTTCAGGTTACGTACGCTTCAGGTTACATACGCTTCAGGTTACAGACTCCACTAACCCAGAAATAGTACCTCAGGTTAAGAACTTTGCTTCAGGATGAGAACAGAAATCGTGCGGCGGCAGTGGGAGGCCCCATTAGCTAAAGTGGTGCTTTAGATTAAGAACATTTTCAGGTTAAGAACAGACCTCCGAAGCGAATTAAGTTCTTAACCCGAGGTAC